TTTCTTTCTTTCTTTCTTTCTTTCTTTCTTTCTTTCTTTCTTTCTTTTTCATTCTTTATATTGCTTGACTGCTAGCGACTTTGAGTGGTTGACATTGAACAAGCACGAGGCAAAGCATGATAATTTCCAGAGGATTTTGGAGACATGACTGCCAGAGCAGTCTTTTGTACCTCTGTGGCTTTCATGATTTACATGCAATGATTTGCTTGTAGCTGTGATGAACAATTACAGTAACCTTGTTTTTAAGTAAATGCCTAAGCATATATAGATACCCATTACATGTCCTCCCCAAGACCAAAAGACAACTTTGCAATCACACGAAGGAAAAGCTTTATGACCCTCAGAATAAGAGTACCAGGACTAAGGGAAAACCAGTTACAGGGACTCATTGTTAACTGTATCTTGCTTATTCCTGTCCACATATCCTTCGAAGGATTTGTTAATATTTCTAGAAATAAGTTATATAGCAAACAAGATAACTGCATATCATCAAAAGTGCTATGATGTGGCCCTCAAAGAGAAATGAGGGATCTGTGCCTAGGCATGCATGAAAAAAAAAAGGGACCCCTGGCCAAAATGAGTTTTCATTTTGAGCTTTTCAAAGTTCTGAACAAGTCATAATGACAATTCTTTTAAGACTGTACTTTTGTAACATCTTCTATGTATTTTTTCTTGTTAGCCATGTTGAACACGTTGCTTCAAAAGTATCAAAATGCAATTAATAACAACAGCTAAGTATTTTTTTTCTCAGAACACAGAATCTGGGGCAGAATCTGACATGAAGTGAAAATCTTCTATTTTTATAAACCCCCGTCAGCCCATTTTCCTATTGTGTAGATACTGTATAAGCAAACTGTATAAGGAAATTGCTAAAGAAACTTAGCTGAAAAGAACTATAACAATTATGACTGAAAAGTTAATTATTTGGGCAAAGTAACTACATTTTTTCAACTTAAGAAATACTTTTTACCTGTGATCCTGTGGAGTACCGTCCAGGAGTTCGTGACCCAGAAGTTTTTCCTGAGCCGATGGAGTTCTCTGTACTTTTCCCACTACAACAATGTGTACGCAGGCATTTCCCATATTCTTTACGTACCTAACAAATTAAATTGTGATATTTATTAGCAGGAAATCCATTCTTCACTTTTGAAAATGATTTTGTATGTGCATGTATTGGGAAAATGATTCAACTATAATTGTTTCTGGACTGCTACTGTCATATTTTAAAATATATAGTATTTGCTATGAAGGTGTTCAATTAAAAATCCAGACTTTTTGAGGAGTAATAAAATTAGATATTTTGGAGGTACAAAAAGAAAGTTTATCTATCTAATTCAGAAATTTCCATTTTCCTCTGCCAATATGCCCTACATCTTTGCATGTATGGTTCATTCATTCATATAATCACCTTTCAACATAGATAAGTACAAGATGATTGAATTTTTTAAACTTTACAATATAAACCAGGAAACTTAAGAGGACAAAAAAACCAAACCCCTCCATAAAGCAGAGCAAGTCCATCTAAAACTTCTTCAATATGAAGTAGAATAGAAACATATATCTTATCCATGGCTACATAGATCAGAAAAATATAATCGGTATTGGGGTCACATGTATTTCTTGCCAACTCTATTCCATTTAATTTCTCAGCTAATTATTATTTGTAATTTAGCCACTAAAATGCAGATACTTTTATAATTTACATTTTAAATCAATTTACATGAAAAAACTCTATATTCTATTAATTGTTAAGTGAATATTTATTTTCATCTAGCCAAGGTCTATTGCAGTAGAAATGTATAAATACAGGGAAAAAACAGCATAAATTGGGAAATAAAGAAAAAACCCCCACTTAAATACATTTTCCTATTATAATTTTAATATTTGTTTTAAATTTTGAATATTGTGTTTTAGTTGCTCCTTGAATTTTCAATATGAATAGAGAAATAGAATTAATAACCCATCAACCAATCAATCCTTAATAAATACATCAACTGCAGTTTCAGACAAACACAGCTTTCTGGCTATTAATGCAAGCCATACAAAATGATTCTCAACCACTTTTAACTCAAGTTCCATTCCATGATGCCATTTCACTGCTGGCTAAACTGTGACAAGAAATTTCTTCCTGATTGAAAACCTTTCAGCTGAATTTTGTGCTAGTTGGAGATTGCTACTCAGAAGGACTTAATGTAAGGACTTCATTGATTGGTTTATTAGTTTATTACCTTTCTTTTCCTACAATAAACAAAACGACTTATGAGAATGTGTGAGAGTAGTTCAATTAAAAAATTCAGAAAAGATCATTACTCATAAATGTCATTATTTTCACTTTCTATATTCTAATACTCATATTATGGTTGTATCTATTAACTTAGACCTAATAAGAAATCTATAAGTGAAATACAGCAATGAAAAGATAGAATTTCTTTAAAAAGAACATGAACAATGGAAAAGGAGAAGTTGCCTTGATTATTAAGAAATATTCCCAGCTTCTTAGAATTAAAGACCAAGAGAAGCTGGGTAGCTAGATATTGATGACATAACCACATGCTTTGAAGAACTCACCAGAAGAATTACAAACACTCAATCCAGGTAAAATAATGCCCATGAGATCACAGAAGCACCCAGACTCCTACTAACCTAAATATACTAATCATTTTTAATTCACCATATGAGAACTGCTTAATTGTCTAAGATTGAAAGGCTCCTGCTTCCCGTTAAGATCAAGGATCAGTATTTGTATAATGCTTTCTCTTCAGTGGTAGCTAGACATCTTCTGCCATAAAGCCTTTATATCCAGTTATTCACTTCTGAAGTATAATGCTTCAGATTCTGGAAATTCTATTTAGCTATTTTGCATTACTTTTCTCAATTAGACTTTAAAGATATTGAAAGGGGAAATATTTAGCTAACATATACTGTATTTTGGCATCTGAATTCTACCCAGAATGTGCCCTTATTGTCATTTGATGTATGAATACATGCAACTTGTCCCTTCTAAAAAAGGTTAGAATTGTGCCAAGTATAAGAGCAAATTTGACACACACGTTCTACCTGGAAGTGTCCCAATTGTGTCCCTATCATTTCAGAAAAGTATCCAAAATGAAATTCCCAATTACTAAGCTCAAACTAGAATTTATCTGAATTTGAAACAATTCCCGAATAGTTTCTAGTATAGAATATTAATTGATTTGATGAGATTCTTTTCAGAATTTGATAAAATAGCTTTACAAGACACCTGCTTAGCAGGGGTAGGTGACCCATTATAACTCCCAGATTTTCGGTGCTGATACATCTCTACCAAAAAATTAAAGTATAAAGGGAGAACTTCAAGGGGATTGTGTATTCTTACTAAGGAATAATTGCAATGGCAGGTTGAGAAATCATATAACAGGAATAATTTGCTTCATATACTGGCCATTAAATTCAGATATAAAAATGTTGAAAAAATGTTTCATTTACCAGCATAATTTTGTTCCATAAAAATACATCCCTTTATTACATGATATGATTATAGTCAATATAGTGAACTCTCAAATAATTTTTTGATAATCACCATTGGCATTCAAGAGATAAATAAAGATAATAATGCTGGTCTAAAGTTGACTGCTGATTTTTAAATGTAATTTTCAAATTCTGGGAGGCAAGGATCCACCTTACACTCAAACATGTTAGTTAACTGAGGGATGAGTCAGAATAAAATAAAATGGTTAATATGATCCAAAGTATGTCTACCAAGGCAATGTGGTATAGCAGGAGTGTCAAACTTGTGTAGTCACATCATCGTCACATGACAGCATGACTTTCCCCCCCATTGCTAAACTGGGGGTGGGCATGGCCAGCGTATGATGCATCTGGTCTGCAGGCCATGAGTTTGACACCCTTGCTGCATAGTTTCAAATCAGAGAATGCTATCAGTTGGGTCTTAACAGTCCACTCTCTCACAACTGACTAGCAGTCAGTCTTCAATGCATTCATAAATTTGTGTCACATGTTGACTAAAAACATCTATTAATCAAACCCTCCTCCAAAAGTTTCCTTATAGATAGTTCTCCCAGGTTTGACAAAGAAGCTCATTTGATGAAAAAGCGATTGAAGAACCAGTTATGAGATTTGCTCAGAGGCATTCCTTTGTATATATACAGGCTAGGATGCTATTTCTAAGAAGAGGATACAAAAAACTTGTTAATTCAAAGGTTGGGGGAGCCATGCTGCTTCAAATTGGTCAGGACATGAGCTGTCAGCAAGAAGTCATAATTCAGCTATATTTTAGCTGGGATCCTGAAAGAATGGAGATTCACATTCAATATACCAATCACAGCTGAGGACTGGGAAAATTAATATCATCACCTGTTTGCTCCCTGGAACCTGTTGAGAAACAGTTACTAAACAGCAATTTACCACCTACTGAAACTACACCATGGCTACCAGTATTAGAAAAACAAGATTAAATCTATTACAAAAGGTATGAAGAACAATAAATAAAGCTCCTGTTGAGGACTTTCTACCAGCCAAGCTATTCAAAAATTATCCAACCATGAGCCTCTCTCTTGGTAGGTTTATTTATACATATAAATAGTGTCTGCCATATTGCAGTCAGGGGGAAGATGGCAGTTGTAGTTCCTAAAAAGGATTCTAGCAATTACAGGCTCATGCATCTAATGGATATTGTGCTAAAATATATGCCAGGTTCCTCTTGAGGAGAGTTGAGAGCTGGGTATCTGACAAGTACTGTACATTCTTGCAGAAGGACAAGCTGACTTCAGACAATCCACTATTGCTTGAACCATCTAATTACCAAATATGTCAGCAAGGTGACCCAGCTGATTGCTGCCTTTATAAACCTTAGTGCAGCATTTGAGTAAACAGAAAAATATTATAGAGGAAATTGAAATTAATTGTCCTCAATACAGAATACAGCCTGCTTGCACTGACCAAAGTCCTTTAGACAAATACTGTAAAAAGTATATTGTAAACTGCTTCAGGGTGTGGTTTAGGGTTAAAGAAGTCATGACAAGGAGAATTGACTGTCTTACAAAGGAGTAAGACAAGGGTGCATAGTTGCACCATTGCTATTCACTCTATATGTTAATGACTTACCACGACTGATTAAGGATTCTGTACTACACATGACTAAGGTACTCAACATATGTTACTATATGTTGACAATACTCTTCTATTTTGGGTTGCATAGATTGTTAAGACTTGGCTACTGCCCTAATAATTCTTTGATTATTAATACATCAGAATAAAGATCATGGTTTAAAAAAAAACTATCTCAGCCATAGATGGCTATTAAATGGTGAGTCAATTGAGCAAGCTAACATATTTCCTTATTTAGATGTAATCTTCTATGAGACTGGATCTGGATTCCTTCATCATCAAAGGAGTTCACCCAGAGAAGGGCAGGTAGAAATTCAATGTTATAAATTACAAAGCATTAGGATTCAGATGTTTTAGCTCCAATTAATGCATGAAAAGTCAACATTACCACTATACTATTATATGGAGATGAAGTTTGGGGCTTACAACGCATGCCATTACTAGAACAAACACAAGCATAGCATCATTTGGGTGTGGATAAAAGAAGCTCAGCTGCTGCAGTGTGAGTTGAATTAGAAATTTAAACAATTTGTTCTTTGTCTAAAATCAGGCCATACAATTATTGGTGCAAACCAAGGCTATGAAACTAAAGACCTCAAAAATATGTCTAATAGAATAGGCAAAATCTCAATTAGGGACCTTTTGGATTGCACAACTGACAAATTATATCAGGAATATATGGTCTCTGTTTCTTGTCTGACTCTTTCTGGAAGACAAAAGAAAAGATTTTTGCACAAAGAATTTTGGCTATACTATAGATACTTTGAAAGACACTGCTATCCTCAGTAAGCTGGCACATTGAAATGGATTAGCTGCTTTAAACACACTTTCCAAATTACTGAGTATTAAATACAGAAATGCTCAAGAACGTTAGGGAGGTATTTACTTGAGTGAAATTTGGGCAGATGGATTTATGATGAATGTACTTTTTTTTTTTTTGAAGCTCCAGAGATAAAGGACATAGCACATATATTTTTTGAATGTCAACTG